ATTCTAATAAACGAAGAAAGCCTAATATTATAAATTAAAGCAAATAATTTGCGACAAGTGCAACATTTTTAAATGAAACTTATTAATTTACTATTATATAATACAATATTGTAATGCTACTAGAATTGAAACAATAAAAAAAAAAAACGTAAAAAATCAAACAATAATAAACAAAAACAGAAATAAATGCATTTAGCAGGCTGTTGATGGCTTTTTTAATATTTGTGAACGCAGGTTTGTACATACATATGTACATATGTAGGTATAGTTTAAATGTATGTACATATCGAGCCCTAACCGCCAAAATAACGTCAGCGCCATTTTTTTCAAAATTGTCTTTTTGATGCAGAAATATTCCTAGAGCATATAGATGTATTTCTGCATCAAAAAGAAAATTTCGAAAAAAATGTCGCTTACGTTATTTTGGCGGTTAGGGCTCGATATTTTATTATGCACTCAGACAGATATTTTATAATTCAAGCAAAGAAAAGTTTAACACCCCAATTTCATAAAAATTGAAGAAGACTTCATAGCCCTATTCTACCAAGATTTTAACTGCCGTTAAGAGCTCAGGAGAGTGCAAATAACGTTAACGATTGCTTGTACATACCCTGCAGGAAATGTATCCTACTATAAGCTAACTCTAAGTTGATTAGGAAGGAGCTAAAAGTCACTATTATCTATATATTTTCTTTGACGAAAGCTAACTATACTTCTATGGCGATGGCCGCGAAATAGTCAAGGGTGGTTACCTATGCATTTGATGCAACTAACTTATAACTAACTACTTTTGGACATAAAATATCAATAGGAAAACAAAATATTATTTTTTTTTTTACTTTATTTATTTTATTACATTTCATATTTGTTTACATATTCTGTTGTAGGTGGTCCCATATTCGAACTCCGTCAGATATAACTTCAAATTGATAACGTGAAATTTCGATCTTCCTTTTATTCGTCCTCAATTCGAAAAAGTATTTGCGAAGTGCAGGATATTTCAATAGAAACGTGTTTAAAGAAAACAATCTCCTGCATTACTTGTCAACTAGTTTGAAGTTAGCCTTTTGTAGCTAACTAAAAGTTATATATTTTATAGAGATCCCGCAAAAAAGCTAACTACAATTGGGTTATTTTTTTTATCAATTGATTTTTTTCCTGCAGGGTAGTATGAGCAATTACCCCCCTCCAGTTGTAATCTACTCTTTCCAACAGGCATAAACTGCAGTTAAGGCTTGGTGGAAATGAACTATTGCCTGCTTTATGAATGGAAAATTTGTATGAAAATGTCACTTTTTAAAGCTTTTCATTTTTTTTATTTCATTTTTAAATAAGGCCCTAAAAATGTCTAACCTTATGAAAATGAGTCCGTTTCATCACTTGCCATTTTTATTAAGCGCACCACATTGGATGTGCATTGGTTGGCATAACATACGACACGCCCAATGCATCGATTTACCACGGATTTTGATAGCTTGAATAATAAGCATTCCGGTAGGCTGAATAACGGAAATTCACCTGGGATTTTCTTCTAAAATGCCGACACATGCAGACAAGAGTGACCGTACTCGACGCATCTTGGGATTGATCTTTGTATAAATTAGGGACTTGCGATTAATCGACTAAATCATTTTTTAATTAATCATAATCCTGATTAATCAAAAATTCTGATTAATCAGATTCTGATTGCTCATAAAAAAATTAATTGAAATCTGAGTAACTTTGCTCATACATATCTTTCGAATTTGCTTTCAAAGCAAATGATTTTTTTTTTTATAATATCGTTACCTTCATTCACGAATGGAAAACAAGATCAGCCTACAGGGCCACGCTATGATCGGGCGCAACGCGAACCATGTGGGACCGTTTTAAGGAACTGAAGAGGGAAGCGGAACGTATTTGCCGCAATAAGAAGAGAGCGACCGAAATACCTGAGTGCGAAGAGTTTGAATTGCTGGCCGACAGGAAAAACGCCCGAAAATTGTATGTGAGAGTAATGCTGGATTTCCACTTGGCATTAAATGACAAAGTTGGGCATTAAAAAATATTCGTGTCATTACGTTAAAAAAATATTCATTAACTTAATTTCCACATGGCATTTTTTAAGTGCCTCCAGTTTTCTTCTTCTGTAAGAACAACCATGGCGACCTAGAGTCCGATGTCCAGAAGGACAGCAGACGAACACGAGCCCCCATTCGATGACGACAGAATCGATGTCCTACCGCCTGGCTATGGCGAGGGACGGTTAGCGATTACGCGGCTGCTGGAGCTGACGGCCCGCCAGCCGAGGTATTCAAGTACGGGGGCGACGAGCTGATGAGGTGCATGCATAAACTCCTATGCAGAATATGTTCAGATGAACGTATGCCCGGCAACTGGAATTTAAGTGTGCTCTGCTCAATCCACAAGAAAGGCGACCCCGCCACACGCGCTAAATACCGGGGGATCAGCCTTCTAAGCATAGCTTACAAGGTCTTATCGAGCGTATTGTGTAAAAGACTGAAGCCCACCATAAACGAACTCACTGGACCTTATCAGTGTGGCTTTAGACCTGGCGAATCCACCATAGACTAGGCATTCGCAATATGATAAATCTTGAATAAGACGCTGTGTAAAATGATGTTGAGCAATACCATTAGCTCCGTCAGAATTGGGAAGGACATCTTCGAGCTGTTTGATACCAAACGAGGCGTCAGACAAGGTGACTCCCTCTCGTGTGATTTCTTTAATCTGATGTTGGAGAAGATAATAAGAACTGAATGGCTCAGGCCCAATACTTTACAAGAGCGTACAATTGCTGGCGTATGCCAACGACATCGATATTATTGGTAAAAACAAGTGCTATGTCGGTTCTGCCTTGTCGGGATTAGATAAAGAAGCAAAGCGAATGGATCTGGTCGTGAAAGAGGACAAAACGAAGTTTCTCTTGTCATCACACAAACAATCAGAGCATACGCGTCTCGGCACATACGTCACTGTTGACAGTTACAAGTTTGAAAAAGTAGACAACTGCGTTTATTTGGGAACCAGTATTAACACCGATAACAATGTCAGCCCTTGGAATCCAACGCAGAATTACTCTTGCCAACAAGTGGAGTATGCAATTGTGAAGTAAAGTCCTCTCTCGTCGTAAAAATATCAAACTCTATGTAAAAGTCACGCAAAATGGCCGTGCTGGTATATGGCGCAGAAGCATGGACAATGACAACATCCGATGAGGCGACTCTTAAAACATTTAATAAGCCGGAAAAATAAAAACCTAATTTTTTCATCAATGATTTTTATGTAAAAAGACCTGAACTTTCGATTGAGATAACTAAAAACAATATTAAAAATTACCATCATTGATGAAAATTACAAATAAATTTTCGTTTCGAATTTTCACCATGAAAGTGGGAAAATTTTCGAAAGCGCATAGCACCATCGGATAGCCGGTACAAAAATCTGTAGGAATCGTAGTTTTTGAATTTTATTTCACATTATTCGTCCGCTCAGCGTGTTTGGGATATTTGACGTGAATTGCCCCATATGTAAACATATCGTCACCTTAAATGCAAAACGCCGTAACTAACAAAAAATCTACAATTTATTTATTGATTTATTATGATGCATTTCATCGAATTTTTAAGCAAAAAAAAATTGTTAGTTGCAGCTTTTTGCATTTTAGATAAAGATAATTGGACATACGGTTTTTTTCAGTAAACATTTTTTTCTATCTCGTAAGTATATGTAATTAATAAGAAAAGTCATATGCCTTATCTATGTGCACTAGGGGGGTCCAAAAAAAAATAAAGTGGGAATTTTAATGCTTTCACCCCCTTGGATTGTTCTATATCGCCAAAAATATACCCCTTTTTTTGAAACAAAAAAATATTTAGACATTGCTCTAAGTTTGCTATGTATTTTATATGAAAAAAATATATGTACATATAAAAATTCATAGAAATGGTATAAAATCCTTGAGAATCTAAATTTTTTAATCTGCTTCGCTTTAATCGACTACCCCATTGTTTATTCAAAAAAAATTTTAATATCAACTAAATTTTATGGGTCCCTCACATTAGAAGACCCATAAAAAATCGTAAAACTTTAATTAATTTTTTTTTTAAATAAACAATGAGCTATTTTTATTAGAAGTTTCATGAAGTGAAATAGAGTTTTCCAATCGAAAAATATTGTTTTTTCAAAGCGCTTTAGTCAATTCTAAATATCATCGCTTGGCTTGCAAACCGCGTATGATGTGGCGCGGAAAAAAATGTATTTTCGTTACCCCGTCTCAATGGTTGCCTATTCTACATTTTTTATTACAAAAAACAGAAGTATACATGCGAGTGAGCGCGTTAAAAATCCGTCTTTACTTTTCTCACATGCATTTTTGGACCGCCCTCATGCCAATTTATCAAAAAAATTCGCTTTGCATAGTTTGTCATGATTATTTGGTATCAGCGACTGAATAGAAAAGAAACAATTTACTCAGATATTACTAATAAAACATGTCCCCCACTGGCTGCAATAATCGACCGGTCGATCCGATCGAAATCCTCTATAACAGGTGTGAATTTGTTTTTTTTTGCTGCGTGTGAAATTTTGAAACGCAACACAAATATCTCTAACCACATTTTTGACCATAAGCTTTTTCTGAAAAAGTCTCAAGCTTCTATTTTAACAATAAATTGGCAGCAATTAAGAAAGGTTTATAATTATTTGTCATTTCTGTTAGGAACGTTTATTTGCATTGAATAACTAACTATGTGATTTTACGCTACAAAACAGTAATTATTTTGATTATTTTGTGGGACCACCCACACCCACACCCACACAATTTGCACATTTCTAAAAGAATCCAGATCTGCTATGTAATTAAATGTGCGAAAAGTATACCGTAATTGCCTATATAAGCCGAACTTCCACGCTTGGACGTTCATTGTTTTTTGCGGAAATTCGATATATGTACAAAGTTTATTTGCATCAAAATAGACGGACCCTTCTGCGCCATCGAAATGTACTTTTGTGAGCAATTGTACAACATTAATTTGGTGTATATGAAACGTGTTGGCTCTCTGGGTGACCCAAAGCGCGCGCTCTTTATGCTCGCTATGCCAACTTTTTGCTGTTTCGCTACCATCTATAGAATTTACCAAATTTGGCATAATTTCGATGAAGTGGTAGCGAACTTTTTTAAAGTTTCGGGTATGATTACAATAACAATACGCACCTTTATGGTGTTATCTAAACAAAAGAAGTTCTTGGACTTTTTCAACGATATCGACAATTGGTACCACAGATTACGGGTAAGTTTGGCACATTCAATAACTTTCCAGTGCAATTGAGATATGAATATTTAAAACACCTTTTAAATAGTCGGAAAATGACGAAGTGACAATGAAAAACTTGGAAGAATACACGCGAAAAACGCGACGTGCATCGAAAACTATATTCGGCATCATGATAGTCTGTATATTCTATATTTCCGCCATACAACTGCTGACCAGCATTAGTAGTACGAATAAAAGTAAGAAGAACATTAAAAACAAAAGTTCGTCCCGTACTACCCGATACTTCTTTACAGAATACATAATTGAAGTGCGATTGCCATTTGTCGACCTGTACACAAGTCCATACTACGAGATAATTTCCGTCTTGCAAGCCCTTTGGCTTGCTCCGATCGTCCTATTGTCATATGTTTCCTATTTGTGTGTGATTTTAATATCTATATCATTTGGTATTTTCCTTATGAAGGATCTGCAGCAGAAATTGGGTAATATGCACGAATTGAATGAGCTGGAAGGTTTAGAATGTATAAAAAAATGCATACAACAGCATGTATTGATCATCAAGTAAGTATCTGTGTATGTATTAGTTCTTCTAAGAGTTCTCGGCGCAAAAATGCTAGGCGCAACGCAAATTTTCAGATTTGGAACTATTTCACTCCTTGTACAGTGACAACAAAAAACCAATTTTTTTACTTGGGATAATGCCACTTTTAAGCCCGAAGCATATTTTCCAGCTCTCAAGGAAAAAAAAATCACATTAAAACACACTCAAAAAATGAAAAAGAAATTTTCTATTAAAAATATAAATATTTAGTACGTTTACAGCTCTCTAGAAATATATATGTAAATATATATAAAGTGACATATCCTCAAGTAAAAAAGGAGTGACAAAAAATTAGAAGGCTTTTGGGAGCTTTCAAGTTAACAGTTTTCTGCAAGACGCGAGGGCAAGATCTAAGATCCAATACTTGTCTGAATATGGTCGCAATTCTTTGACATTTCAAGTCCACAAAAGTCTTGATAAGTAAAGCAGATGCCAACTTTGGCTACTATGTATCTTGAAAGCTCCGCCTCTCTGCCTTTCGAAAGACTAATTGAATAATCTGCTAACGAGAAGGTCTGTTTGTCTTTTGGCAATAAGTTTTCTAAAAATCAAATTAAATTTAAAAAGTAAATACATATATATATATATATTTTTTAGAGATTAGTTTGGATCGAAATTTTTCCAAAAAAATTTAAACTGAATTTTGTCGTATAGCCTATTTTCACCAAAGGCTTAACGGCAGTAAAGAATTTAAATTAAGTTCCAAGAATTTTAACATGGGGTGGTCGGCAAAGTTTGTTTTTTTTAATTTTTGCTTTTTCCCTTGCTTCTACTTAATAGGTGGAATTACCCCCTTCGAGTTGTAATCTCCTTTTTCCAATAGACATTAACCGCAGTTAAGCCTTGGTGGAAATCCTCTTNTTTTTCCCTTGCTTCTACTTAATAGGTGGAATTACCCCCTTCGAGTTGTACTCTCCTTTTTCCAATAGACATTAACCGCAGTTAAGCCTTGGTGGAAATCCTCTTAAAAAAAAATAAAGAAAATTAAATTTAAACAAAAAAAATATTAAAAATGTTTCTAACAATTAATTGTTATTAAAAATATATATTTCCTTTTAAAACAATGAAATCTAAAAATTAGAAGAAAATTAAATGAAATAAAGAAAGTATTTTTCTTTTTATAATAATATAATCTAGAAGATCAAATAAAAGAAAATTAAAAAACGCGAAAAAATTAAATAAAAAAAGTAAAAGCAAAATAAAATAATTTCCTAAAAATTTATTAAGAATAAAAAAATTTGTATTTTTCTTTTTAAAATAAAAAACAATGATAATTAAAAAAGGAGGTCTGTTAGAATAAAATGAAATTAAAAAAAAAAACTTTATATAGTTTGCTTTTTTTAAAACAACAAAATCTAAACATCTAATGAATTAAAAATATAACTCAAAAGTTAAAAGAAAATTGTATTAAAAAACGCAAAAATTAAATTAATATAATCCAAAAAGTAAAAGGAAATTGTATTAAAAAACGCAAAAAATAAAATTAAAAACGAACAAAAAATAAAATAAAATTAAGGGATTTATAATTTTCTTTTTCTAACAATAAAAACTAAAAAGACAAAAATGCATTAAAAAATAAAATAAGTTTGTAAAAACTAAATGAAATTAAAAAAAAAACATATGGATATATATTTCTTTAATTTTTAAACAATAAAACCTAAAAATCAAACTAAACTAAACAAAAATAAAAAGTATATAAGTATAAAAAAAGGAAAAAACTTTTGCTAAGGAAGTATTTCGACTATTCCAGTAGAACTATTTAAAAAAAATAATTGTTGTTATTGTCGAACGTAGGTGTCGCTAAAGGCGAAACCTAGGTTGTGCCAAACAAATTTAATTATTTTTTCGAAGTTAGTATATACAAATACTATTTTTGACTCAGGGGTGTACAGCGAACTTTTTTTTGTTTACATATTTATGTAATTGTTTTTTTTTTCAGATTTCACAGGGATTTGGAAGTATTATTTTCTGCTGGAAATTTTGTAGATGTCAGCATTTTTTGTATAATACCTTGCGTCATAATCGTTTATGCAAATATGGTAAGGAATGCAAAATTGCTACAAATTCGCTGTAGCAATGTATTAACCGTGCTTTGATAACTCTATTGAAAGTTGCTGAGAAGATAACCATACGTCTGCGACGCGTACCATGGTTTGCTTGCCTTACATTTATGGTAATAAAAGTTGTATGAACATTTTTTTCATCCGTATGGAGACTTTAAATATTTATTTATTATATATATAAATGCATTTTATTTAGAAATGTTCTTAATTTAAAATAGAAATACCACCGATTTCAACCTCCATTTCTCGAAAGAGTGAGCGAAAACTTTGTAAAGCATACCTCTCGCATACGTATGTACATTAGACTGCATCACCAAAAAAAGTTGCGGTTTTTCCGTCGGGATTACAAAATGTATTATATTTTAAGACGTCCACTAAAATATTTCGGAAAAATATTAAGATTTAAGCGAGCTGGACCGATTTAAAATTACCTCCACAAATGAAGTTTTTTATGAATAAAAATAGTTTCTTAAAGAACTTTTTGAAAAATGTCCCCTCAGATGACAAATTAGAATAAGCTTAAAAAATCTGCATAAAAATATTTCAAAATCTTTTCAACGGAATCGTAAGAATGAGATTTTTGATGCTGTTTTTTTTTTTCTTTTTTCAAAGATTGATTTACGAAAAACTTGAATAACTGGGCCAAAACTGTTCTGATTTAGACTTATGGGATCTCAGCAGAAAGGTATTTTCACACCGTTTTCATTTCTGGCCAAAAGAAACGTCATTCGTGTCCCATCTTTTTTTTCGAATACCAAAACATCTTGATTCAACTTTGAATGAAGTTCGTTTCTCCTACCTTTCTCTTCCATCCTTTAAAAACAGCATCATCATTACGATTCCGTTAAAATTTTTTAAAATTTTTTTTTAATATTTTCATGCAAATATTTTAAGCTTAAACCGTTTTGTCATTTGAGGGAATTTTTTAAAAAAAAATCTTTAAGAAACTATTTTTACTCATAAAAAAATCCATTTTTGGAGGTATTTTCAAATCGGTCCAGCTCACTTAAATCTTAATATTTTTCCGAAATATTTTGGTGGACGTCTTAAAATATAGTAGATTTTATAATTCCAATGGAAAAATAGTACCGATTATTTTGTGTATGGGGAGTGATGCAGTCTAATGTACATAGGTTACCAAAACAGGGTTAAGTAAATTTTTATTTTATTTTAGTTTCCATGAACTAAATTTAATTTTGTTTCATTTTAATATTTGCAGGAATATAATTTAGCATTTATGATTACAGATGTTCAACTGGTTTTTGTTGTAATTTTCTCAACATATATTATCTTTTGGTTAGCCAATAGCTTTTACATTGAGGTACATACATATTTATGCCTGAGATTTCACATTTTAACACCTACATATGTACATATGTACATATGCTTACGTATATGTTTACACTTAATCCGCTTACTTTGTTTCATAGGGGCTAAATATAGCTCACGCCGCTTATAATTGCAATTGGGTAGATCGGGGCAAGGACTTTCGCAAGTATATTGTTGTGATAATGACTGTTGGTCAAAAGCCACTGGAGGTATTTACTTATGGTGTATTGAATTGAAATAAAATATATAAAATTATATGTATTTGCAAATTATATCAGATTTTTAAAAACTCCAACATAGTTTTATTACGCTTTTATTCGCGCTTAAAAAATTAATACAATTTTTTTTTTTGCAGCTCACCGCTGGCGGCCTAAAACCCGTGAATATGCAATTCTTTCTGGCTATCGTGCGCGTTTCATATTCAATCTTTACCGTCCTACAGGGAACTAAGAAAGATTATTGAAGTGAAGAAAGCACAAAATTAATTAATCGCGTTCAACTATTTATTTATTCTTTAAAAAATAGAAATAAACAATTTAATAACTTAGGCAACCAAAAATATGTATGCCGTAAAAACACGATTTTGGGCGCTTAAAATATACACTATAAAATAAAAAATACACATAAATATGCACGAATAATATCAAAAACATGCTTAAAATATGCATTAAAAAAAAATAATTAGTTCAATTTTTCTTGTGTAAAAATCTATTGAATTTTATTCAAAAATATACCAAAACATAACAACATATATATATATACATATTATAACAAAAAACTTGTCAAAACCGTCAGGTAAGTGTGAAGTTTGCCGTTAAATTTTCCACTAGTCCTACGGGCTCGGAAATTTTTATTCACCTCAGTTGTCAAAAATTTACCATCCAGAGTGGCACAGGCCCTATAATTAAAAAAATATTTTTTTTTTGAAGATGCACTAAATTTAGCATTTATTTCTAAAATATGCAAAAAAAATCATTTATTTTGAAATAAGCCGCGAATGTTATTCATACGCCATGTACCCCCGAGTATATGAAAAAATCTGACGAGTTGTTACATTTTTCGACTAAACGGTGTTTCATCTTCCGTTTTGTGTAAAGAACAAGATTCCATCGCGAAATTGTATTTAAAAGAAAACTTAAAAAAGATAATCTAAAAAAAAATCAAAAATTTCAACTCGTGCTCATCAGTGTTGCCAGAACTTTTTGGACCAACCGGCTAAATGGCAAAAAAAAAACGGCTAAAAAGTTTCAACTAAATCTTACATGTTTTATTTAAATAAATCACAAGTAGAAAGACTAGTTCTTGGAGAGAAGTTGCAAATTCAAGCTGGAAAAAGTTTTGCACATGGTTGGATCAAAGAACGTAGATAACAAGAAGGGACAACTCGTTATAATTGTGGCGAAAGTGTGCAACAGGGGCGTGCCTTCTCATTTCATCCAATCAAAAAACGCACTAGGGTAAAAGAGAAGGCACGCACTGAATTTGAAGTATTTTACAATACTACCTTCTTAACGCTTTTGTCTGACACCCATATGTTGATACATACCTTATTACCACCTACATGTAATTGGGTGCCACACTCTTGAAGCTTCACAGGAATGTTGTATATGATGCCAACTTTCATTGCCTCTAATATGAACATTCTATTTGCAAAATTTTCTACATAAGTTATTTAAAAAAAAAGCATGATTGTGATTTTTACGAGTCGCAATGAAAAAATTTGTAATTTTGGTACTTTTTCGCCTTAAAAACGTTTTAAAGCTGAAATTGTTTAAATACTTGATTTATTTTTTATTTTCCTTTTTTCAGAAACAACACTGATTTAAATATATGTAAGAAGAATTCTTTAGCGTTTTTTTTTATTCTGGCGAGAGAAAGAAGTGAAACTGAAAAAAAGAACAACTCGTGAGATTTGCTAATATACGAGTACGGCGATGTATTGTACTACATGGGCGTATGAGTAACATTATTTCTTGCCCATTTCATCGCTTCATTGTTTTAATTGTTAAAATTTAATTTTTTCATAAAAATGAAAATATCTTGGAAAATATATAAGTTTATATATAAATATATACGGTATACAGATCCGCTACACTACTGTAGTGCATATGCCTAAAACTATGCAAAAGTTGTAGACAGTTATGAAAAATTAAAAAATTTCTGTTGGGTTAACACAAATTTTACCCATACCGAGAGCAAAGATGTTGTTACCTGACAAGGTTGCAGAGGGCAAATGATCAGATCAATGAATGGACACACAAACTGGACAACGTTGGGTCTGGATAAATAAAAGTTAGATCTGCTACGATATCCAGATATTAGTTCCACCAGATTTACTTGGCAGCAGAAGCTCTTCGTCTGAGATGGATAATGGTTAAACCTAATGACGGCATTCACGGGGCGTGAGTTAGTAAAGGAGGTGATTGTCTTTCAGTGAATATCTTTTTTGGCTTGTCTATAGAATTTCGGGTTCAGTAGTTGTGCGATATAGATCTCTGAATTTGAAAGATCTCTAGATATTCTTTCTCGCGTGCCTAGGAGGTGACTAGCAAGTCTCCCAATGCTGTTCGGCCGGCAGTATTCTGAAAAGTCGGATACTTCGTTCGTTATGTCCTACTTGCCAGCGTTGGCCCCAAACAAGCGCAACCTAATTTAAACCGCACAACCACTTCGCATCTATATTGTCAATAACGTTTGTTTGTGTTTGCCCCATGGTTTGCTGTAGGGGGTGAAAAAGGGTGCCGTTGCGTAGCAAAAAAAAAAAAACGGAGAGGAAGCTGTATACTTACAACGACAGGTCGTCACCCTGTGGTAGCTAGAGTAGCCTGACATTTGCCGACCCTTGATTTTAGGAGTAACTTCACCGCGTGCGCCAAGTTCCAACACTGCTCCTATCCCATTTGACATATGCTTGTTGTCAGCTGTGGTGAATTTACATTTCTTCAAATGCGTTTGTTCCGTGGCTGCGATTTTTTCCGGTGAAAAGAAAAATTTGTGTATTATTCGTGTACTTTTGTAAACAAATAAAAGCAAATGTTTAAAGCAAACTCTATTGAATGAGTGCAACTAAAATTCAGTGAAAAGTGTCGCATAATGGAAAGTAAAAAGGATATCTACAATTTGTGGGTGCAGTACACGACCAAGGCGAGTACTGAAAAAAAACCTAAAACGCGTAAAAGCTGTGCAAAAATTAATTGCGGCTTATTGGAAAGCACAAATAGCGTTAAGTTTGTCACCTTTTGGTGCGCCTCGAAATTACAGAAAACCGCAATTATTTTATGGGCGTGTTTGAAGCATTAATCATCCATAATGCCATAGAAGGTGAATGGGGAATACCATTGGCCGTCACATCGCTGCTCTCCTACGCGCAAAGTTCTGTCAAATAATAAACACTGCACATATAAAATAAAAAAGTGCAAAAAATTAACATTCCCTGAGCGGGGATTGCAGTTAAACGATAACCATAATTGAATAGACATTGGCTAACTACATACAAGGTTTTATCTATTTATTATCATTACTTTTTTCTTAGAAGGCCATAAGCTTATATAACATTGCGCATTGTAGATAAACATAATTTACATACTGATAACAAAAAAACCACCCGGCGGCCCACCACCAACGAAACCTGAGGCTCAAGCTGCATTACAATGCGGCCGCCAACCCACCCACAAAATAAATAAACTTTGCGTTGCTCTCTGGAATCGCCGCATACGCTCATTTAACGCTAATTGTGCTCTCTTTAGGTCGCTCTTTCTACCCAATTTATGTTTTAATTTTTTGTGTTTATTTATATTTTGGTCTTCTTTGTTTTGCATTAAAAACAGAATGACGAGTCCTATTTTCGTGAATTCATTCAACGTTTTGTAAACATCTGGAAGAGCCAATTGCCGGTGGATTTTACCAGTGTTGATCTGCCGCTGTGGCATGAAGTGCGTCCGGATAATGGTCCACATCTGGGACGTCTACCGGATGAGTTGTTACCAGCTATTGGAAAATTTATTATAATCGCGCGCGATGCTAGCGAAAATGTGCGTAAATGTAAAAAAAAAATCATATAAATACCTACATATACCTATATATTTGATATGAATTCGTAAGTTAAGGCATATCTTGTTGTGCGTCCTATCTTTCAGGGCTCTTTGGACGATGAACAATTACTTCAGATTGCGGTGCTGGTTGATTGCTTGGTGATAATTTGTCGACATTTTGATAATATTTTGGCTGTTATAAAATATGAGTATAAATCGAATTTGATTGCTATATTGGCGAATACTTTCAAAGAGGTAAACAAAATAAGATTAATATTGACTACGTATATACATACATATGTATGTAGGTACTAGTACGAGGAAGAGCTTTAGGTAAATCTTGGGTTGTTCCGGTTGCGTTGAAGCGACTATCGAGGGGGCGTTAAAAAGAACTTCTTTACTATTTGGGGCTTTCAAAAATGCTAATCTACTTTTATTTTATGATACAAAAAAAAATATATATATATTTTACTAGACCACCGCCAAGAAATCTATATCTACAGATAGTGTCATTAAACTTTTAATAACTAGACAAAGTAATAAAATACGGTATATTCATGTCTTTTGCTGATAAAAATGACTAAGCAGCACTGCAATAGCTATCAGCAAATCATTATTATACCAGGAAAAGGTAGATAACAAAACCCCTACCTATTTGTATAGGTTTTATAGCAGTGCAACGAGTATTAACCTGTAATCTAAACTATTTGGAAACCCAACAACAAATTTGTTATTAGGATGACTAGGACGTGAGTGAAATAATAGTTATGGATTTAAATTTCAAATGAAAATTGGTTACATGCAACTACACCTCCATGTTCACACAAGTAGGGATGTCGGAAAAACATCGATGCATCGAAAATATCGATGTTTTGCTTCGATATCACATATTTATATTTACATAAATACATACATACATACAGATATATCTACTAAATTTTTAGAATTAACACCTAGGCTTATTGCTGTTGTAGCGCCACTACTACTCTCCGCTTAGGTCAGTTTTTCCAGCAATCAATATGTTATCTACGGTCTAAATCTGACGTATTTCTGCAGACTATATTTGAATTTATATAATAAATTAAATTACATTTGTTTTCCCACAGTGTATGTCTCGCCAGCATGCATCAATGCAAGTAAATCATCTATTTCGCAGCTTTTCACAATTTCTAGAAGTAATGTATGATCCGTATTTGACTTGGCGTAGCTTCTTGCGTGGTGTCTATGCAGATTATCATAAAATACCATATAAGCCGCATACAGTGCATGTGGAAATTGTGCCCTTCATTTATGGTTTGCAAAGGAATTTATATTAAATTGACTATTTAATAACATAAAAGCATTCCACTTTGTTGTTGCAGATTGCTTCCAAAACGAGGGAATCACAAAATTCCCAACGATTGGAGAATGTCTAGTGAATGCGTTAGGTGCT